GAAGGGCCCTGTGGTGAGGGATAGTGTTGTGGCCCGTCAGTGGCCTGTGCAGTTAGTAGCTGATTCCAACAGCGAGGAGGCTGGTGTGGTGCTGTGCCAGCAGCCTGTGCAGTTGGCCCTTGAATTGGACAATGAGGAGGCTGGAGAAGATGTGGTGCCAGAGGCGGGGATTCAGCAAGGGCCTTCAGAACCTCCAGAAGCTCCTATAAGTGAAGAGGAAGAAGAGGAGGAGCTCTTCTCGATGCACGAGCGCACACAGCTGTGAAAAGGCAGGAATGGCTCCTCAGGAGGAGGTCTCTTCAAGAGTAAGGCTTGGCGCTAATTGGCCACTCCCCTAGCCTATTTAAGGAAGGATGATGACTGATGCAATTTGCAGGAAACAACTTCATTCACATTCCTTTGAGCCTCATTACAGAAACGTTTGATTTCGGCTCTTGTTTTTCTCTTATCAGTTTTCCTGCAAATTGCTTCTGGGCATTCTGCCAACCACAGTAAGATTATGGTTATCTGAAATACTGTGCCTCAGAACTGAGTTATTGTTCTTTGAATTCTTGTTGGCTGTTAATGAAGTTAAATTAACAGCCCTTGTTCAGAAAAGATTGATTTATTGTATTTGTGTTTGAATAACTACTAAGAAAGCTCATTAGTAGTCTTTAATTATTAAATTAAGGTTTGTACGGACTTTGTGTGTGCTGCATTCTTTGGGGTCCGTAGCTGGGGCAGAACATGTTCCCATTTTTTGCACTTGTCCCTTTTGTCTTTCAGTTTATCAGAGAGATCTTTGTGCAGTCATGGTGGTTTCTTCTTGGATTTCTTGTATTTCTTTTTCAGTGGTATTGTGTTGGACTGGGCTTTTCTGATCATATTTTTCAGAGTTTCCTCAGATTCTTGAGTTATTTTAGGATTTTCATCCAAGGAATCTTTTCCAAGTTCTCTCTGAGTTTATTAAAATCAGCTCTTTTAAAATCTAAGACTCTGATATCATTATTTTCTATTGCTCACTCTCACCCAAGGTTCCCGCAGTTTCAACTTCTTTTCTGTTTGTAAGAATTAAGTCTAGTATATGACTGTCTCGCTAGTTCCCTCCACTATCTTTTGGATAACAAAGTTGTCAGCTAGGGTGGCTAGGAACTTATTTGATTTCTTACTTGGTGCAGAATTAATCTTCCAATTGATATCAGCATAATTGAAGTCCCCCATTACTATTGTAGTGTGTTTCTTACATATATTTGTTAGTTGGTTAGCAAAAAGGATATCTATTTTTTCTGCTTGATTGGGTGCCCTATAGTATACACCTATGGCCATGTCATTCTTTTTTTCTTTTATATTGACCCATATGCATTCTAGGAGGTTTTCGTCTTTGGTTTCATGCATTTCTGTAGCAATATAATGGTCCTTTACATACAGTGCAACTCCACCTCCTCTTTTATGGGGTCTGGGTTTTTTGAACAGTTTGTATCCTTCTATCAGTATGTTCCAGTCATGGGTTTCATCCCACCAAGTTTCTGTTATTCCAACTATATCATATCTACCTTCATGTATTAACAGTTCAAGTTCACCCTGTTTGTTCCTCAGACTTTGTGTATTTATACTAACCCTTTAGCCAGTGGTTCACTTCTAGAATTCTTTGTTCTCTTACTGGATGTTGTCCTTTCATTGGAAGTACAGTTGAAAAAACTACTTGTGCAGCTAAGTCCTTGACTTTCTTCATCAGAGTAGGTTGGGTTGGACAGGGGTTTTGTGTTAGGTTTGTGTTTTTTTCTGTGAGTGACATGTTTCCATCTGTCTTCTTCTTCCTCTAACTTCCTCAATTCTTTTAGAAGTTGTTTGATCATTATTATGTTCAATTTGGGCATATTATTCTTGCAAGGTTTGGGATTTCTCATTTTGTAGGTTGAGTTTCAGAGTGGTTAGAGTTTCCTCTAGACCAAGGATGTCAAACTCAAGGCCTGGGGGCCGGATCTAGCCCATGGGGTGCTTAGATCTGGCTTGTGGGGCCATGCTAGAAACAGCAAAGAACTGGCCCGTGGTGTCTCTGCCAGTGAAAATGGAGCTCAGGAAGACCTCTCCAGCTCTTCCAAGCTCCATTTTCAGCTGCAACGGCCTCCTGCTGCCCTCTGCCAGTGAAAACAGAGCTCATTTTTACTGGCAGAGGGTGGCAGGAGGCCATCACAGCTGAAAATGGAGCTCAGGAGCCTGTTTTCACTGGCAGAGTGCTCGGGCCACAACAGACGCCCCTCACACAAGTAATGTCAAGCTGGCCACACCTACCCTGGACATGCCCACCCCGGCCCCCGAGGTCAAACACAACTCTGATGGGGCCCTCAATGAAATTGAGTTTGACACCCCTACTCTAGACCCTTTACTTTTTCTTCTAGTAGCTTGATTAGTTTACATTTGGTACATATATAGTTTGGGTATTCTATGAGCATAAGTGTATACATAGAATATGTTCTGCAGATCACAATAGCATCAGTTTCTTTTTCCATGAGTGGTTTAAAAAAAAAATTGAAAATGAAAGTGTTGAAGGTTTTACCATAAATTTTTTAAAGAGAAAAATGTCCAATTTAGAATTTTAATATTCTAAAAAATCATTTAAAATTTCAAATTTGGGGGGAAACTCTAGCTAAAAATTTAAAGTTCTAACAGTTAAAAATTGTCTAATTTAAAAATGTTAAGTTCTAGTAGATCATTTAAATTGTCCAATTTTAAATTTTTCAGTGTTGAGTGGGCTTAAGTGCGAGGTTCGTTCTTAGCCTGTACTGAAATGTTCTATAATTATTCCTTTCCTCCCTTCCTTCTTATGATATAATCTAAGTCCTATTGCTATTGCTATTTCTGGCAGATCTTCTAATGCATCATTGTTACTACTTTATCATTATTTATCATTATCGTTACTACTTTGTCATTAATTTTAATCAGTATGTGCGATTTTCTTACAGTAGCTAACTAGGTGGTCTATTGCTTCTTCAGCTTCTTTGCACAGGTGGCATTTGCATTGTTGCTGTCTTTTCAATTCTGGCTTTGTGTGCATTTGTTCTTAAGGCTTGATCTTGTGCATCCAGAAATCTCTGTCTCTTACTTCAATTTTCCTGCTCTTAGCCTTTTTCATATCTTGTTATTATCTGCTTGGATTGCTATTTTTTTAATACATTGACCATGTAATACTTTGCTTGCCAGGTCTCTTTTGTACTCTTCCTTTTTTGTAGGCCAGTTTGGTCTTTCCAGCACTCAATAAGCTTTTATGGTATACTATGTATGCTAAGTATACTATACTTACCTGGTAAGTATTTAATCCATCATATAGTTTTAGCTAGGGGTGAAATCTGAACTGGTTTGCTACCGGTTCACTGGTTGCGCATGTGCACTGTGCGCCAAGTGAGCATTAAATGCACATGCACAGTGCACACCGAATGCGTGCTGCACATTTTAAAAGCTACCGGTTCAGTCAAAACAGTAGTTAAAAAAAGCTATGATCTGACAATCACTTGTGTCGCGTGGTTTAGCTTTGCTAGAAAGCAGGATTTCCTTAGCTTTGCTAGAAAGCAGGATTTCCTGGCTTCTAGCAAAGCTAAACTGCACGCCAGAGCTAATCCCCCCCCCCTCGCTGTTCTACTTATCTTCCCAAGCCTCCTTTTGGTACATACTGCATGCACGCGCATGCACAGTAAAAGGACTATGCACCAAAAGGAGGCTTGGGAAGGTAAGTAGAACAATGGGGGGTGGGGAGATCAGCTGTGGTGCGTAGTTTAGCTTTGCTAAACCGCATGGCACAGGTGATTGTCAGATCGTAGCTTTTTTTAATTACTGGTTCAACCGAACCATTAGTTTTTATTGCTACCGGTTCACCTGAACCGGAGAGAATCGGTAACATTTCACCTCTGGTTTTAGTCCTAAAACTTTATTTTACATAAGTGGTTTGTATGTGTTGTTATGCAGACTTTCATGAACACTTCACTTTTAAAGATAAAGTTTCCCTTGATTTACATGTTTTTAAACCACTAAATTGAAGTGATTTATCATTTTGTTCTTCCAGCTTCTGTTTTTTCTAGTCTACAGTTCACAATTTCTAGGTAGTCTTTCAGATAAATATTAATCAGATCATAGTTATTCAAAGCCAAACAAGTTGAGGCACATTCTGTTATCGTCCCTTATATATGACTTATTAATTACCTTATTTATTCAATATCTTTACTGCAGTCCGTAACAAAAATTATCTTAAACAATACTGCACTTTAGGAGCTGCCAAAACACATCAAGGCTGCTATCACCTGAATGTCAGAGAGAAGAGCATTCCCAAAAAGCAGCTGTCACATCTGGCAGCAAGTCGCAATAATGACTTTTCCAATGAGCTTAGTACTTTACAGGCCTGTTAGATTTAACAGGCAACATAATGGTTAGAATTTTGAATCCCATTAGAAAAACCTTGACTTGGTTCAATAGCCAATAAGCAGCCAATGCAGGAACTTCAACACTAATAGGTGCATAATAAAGTGCTTATTTGAGCAATCTGGCTGCTGCATTCTATATAATAATAGCTTCTAAACCATACGGATGGTAGCACCACAGAAAGCATATAAAAACAATCCAGATATTAGGGTATCCAGTGTGTATGAATTGGACTACCCTATTAAGAAAGGGCATTGCTAATCAAATATCCTTTTTACTGTAGAGAAGGGGATTTGTTGACCTGAGTGGTGGTGGTGGTAAGAAGAGCCAATAAATAAAATGAATCCCTGTATGATCAAAGCCCTAACCCATTTGTAGGTGTCTCATCCATGTCATAGTCATTCAGTGATGCATCTAAGAGCAGCACCTGCCATGTAAGACAGTTTACTTGGACTCTTAAAAAGCCTTGGCATGGCTCACACTAAACTGTCATAACAATGTGTCTTCTGCTCAGCTCAGGGAACTCATGAATTTTATGGATTCAGCTTAGCAAATTCCTTCTATTCTCATTTAAAATTGAAATGGAATTATGTGTGTGTTTTTATGCTCACCAATTGCTTTATTTCTTCAACTTTTCCTTCTGCAACAGCATCAGGTTTTATAATGACAACCACACATTTTTCCTCCTCTAAAAGAAAAGCAATAATTAATTTAGAAAACTTTATAACCATTCCAAAAGAATAAATAATACAAGCACTTAATGCTTATTTGCTACTCTAAAAGAACTGTCATTGAACTATTTGTATCTGAGACCAATTTATTTGTCCGCAGTTATTTTTTTCAAGCTCTAAGCTCACCTGAGTGGGTTATGGAAATGAAATAATTAAATACTTTGGCGCTGTAATTGAACCTGGAACTATAATAGTAAGTTGTGGTGGTTGTTAAGTTAGTTACTACATGACTGCACCCAATTTTATGAATATTTTATGGCAATCATTAAGCAAATGTTGCTGTTGTGAAGCAAAAACCATGGTCATGTGACTGAAGCATGCTGCAAATGGCTGTAAATGCAAGCTGGTTGCCAAACATCCCAAATGAGATCACATGTATGCAAGGTGTGTGTGTGGGGGAGAAGGGCATCAGAACTGTAAATACATCTGGAGAGGTCTTTTGTAAGTTCAAACAGATGCTAAGTGATCTGTATTCATTTCTGTAACATGTCATGAAGTGTATATGTACAACTGAAGTGCTTACTCTATATGAAAAATGCTTATTTTTTTAAAAAATGAAAAAGTTGCTTTTTGATCCATATCCTAACCTACTGCTAATTTTGTACCTATAACAGGTATGTAATTGAGAACTTCTATCAAGAATCATGGTTGCTACACCATCTTGGGGGTTTCATATTGTTGGAAGAAATGTCCATCTGGGTTCAGTTCCAAATGGGGAGAAAGACACTGGAAAAATGGAGGCTGATTGGAAAAATGGTTTAATTGTGAAGCAGAACCATTAAGCATGTGTGATTCTGGGTAGCTGACCACCTGGTTTGATTAGCACATGGATTTTATACAGTTTGTTCTACAGCATTTTGTAATTTAGAGGCTTGTTTTATGTATTTTGTTATTTGAATTCAATTAGTTTGTCTCACGAAGGCCGGCAATGAGTTGGGGTTTTTAATCTTGTTTAACAAATATAATTAATCCTAGATGCTGGATTACCAAATCTGCATTTCTAAAAGTTGGCCCCTTAGTTGGGGCAGAGAACTGAGGCTCTGAGTTTCTGTCTTTAGAAACATGTTTCTCTTTTAGGGAAAATATAATATTCTGCCTTTTTAATATTTTCTAAAATATTTCATTCTTCTATGAGGAGTGGGTGCTAACTTTCTTCAGTACTGATTGCTCCAGTTATATTTGCAATAAATAACATCATAGAACAAGTATATGAAGGAAGACTGAATGGATGGAGAAGAAGATCAAGAAGTCTTGATTAGGTTTGAAATCAGGAATTTGGTAGTACCTTTTCTGATTAACAAATGTTATTAAAAAGCCTTTACTATTAACATATTAATAAATTTTGTTCATGGGAAAACATGCTATATATGAAGAATATAGACATTTAAAGTACAAAATGTAATGTATAAATGCACGGATATGGTATAAGTAAAGAGGCTTTGCAAGGATAGAAAGGTTTGGAGAGCTTTTAGCAATTGCTGTGTAAACTAGTTTTACACAGATTTCCCTTTCTCCTTTTCTTTTGATTATTACTTTGCAGTATTTTCCTGGATTTTGTATATTGTCTATTCTAAAGGTGCAATGATGGGCCTGTACAAGCTACATGTATGTAAAACAAATAAGTACCATACTTTCCCATGTAAGTTGTCTCCTTCCTAATTCTCTAAAGCATTGGAAATTGACTTCTTTGGGGGAGACAATATTTAGCATTTACTTTATTGATTAGCCCTTGGGCCATATCAAAGTGCAAAGTTCCAGAAACTTGAGATCTTTGGTTTGTGCATTATGTTAAATCTATGAAGGGTGTATAAATGTTCCTGTTCTATGAGAGCAATATCAAACATCATCTAATGCCTTCATGGAAGCAAATGAAGAAAGGGTTACCATTGAATTGGGTAAGAATTTCTTTAAATATGCACTGGGGATATACTAAGAAAATACTGTCAAACTTCTTAGAAAATAAAATGCTTTTCAAAATGAATAAATTATATTCCTGCTTTGCTACACATGAAAAAAAAAAAAAAGTGCAAAGTTCCAGAAACAAATTATTACTAAAATTTGATTAAAGCAATTTAAAATGGAATTGGATAAAATACAATTTAAAATGAAATTGGAATAAGATATAATTTAAAATGAAATTGGAATAAAATACAGTCTAAAATGAAATTGGAATAGAATTCAATGATTTAAGATATAGTTAAAATTATATTTTGTTGTCACCTCTGCAATCTATCCCAATCAGTCACACATATGGAGATCTCAACTGAACCATTTTGCTTAAGTACTGTGCTGTGTTAAATGTTATTTTCAGATTCTGGTTGCACATAAGGTAAGTTGTTTTGATATGGGTCATTTGTTTGGTATATAGACCAAGGTACCTGTCTCTCACCCTCTTATAGAGGCAACAATCGAATAGGATGTGAGCCAGGTCTTCTACCTCTTCCACTCCACAAATGCAGAGATGTCCATTACAGGGTATAGAATGGAATTTCCCGTATCTGACCATTGTGTCGAGCTATTCAAATCTCGCTTGCATAAATATCTCCCTAAGATGTTTTGGCAGTTGTAACTTCAAATAGCTGTCTATTTGAAAAGTACGTTTGTATTTGCTCAGCAATTCCAAGTTACTCACCTGACGAAGGATAGCTATGTCATTTTGTGTTTCTATATCCTTGATTCTTTGGGCAGCTCTTTTTTCAAATTGTTCTCCTGTTGCACAAGAGACAGGAAGGCCACAGCTTCTTACAAAATTTGTTAGTTTGGTGAGCCAGGAGATTTGTGATTGTGATTTAATCTGCTCTAGTAGACACAACTTGGGGATCTATCAGTCTCCATTTCATTGACTTTGTACCATTAGTTATATGCTCCAATTTTAGATAGTGCATGAATTGTATAGATTCCCAATTCAGCTCTAACTGCTGCAGCAGAGATCTACAACCAAAATACATCTCAAATGCTGGGACTGTGTTTGTTCTACAACTGTGGTTGAGTATAGACCCCAAACTTCTGCTCCATACAAGAGCATAGGGGTAACCTTAGGTTTATATACTTTAATTAATGGGTCTAGGGACCCTGGGTAACTATGATTCTTTAACTTAAGCAGTAAATTCAAACAAGCTTTTGCTCTAACTGTACTTTGTTGATGATGGTAAGCCCAAGATCCAGTCTTGGAAAAAGTTACTCCTAAATATACAAAGGTGTTAACCTATTCAATTGCTTCACTGCCTAATTTCCATCTATGTCTCTGATGAAGTTTTCCAAACACCATGATTTTGGATTTACTAATGGTTAGAGAGTTATCCTGGCAATAAGAGCTGAATCTTTTTAATAGCCTACATAATACTACTTGTGAATACAATAATAAAATCGTATCATCAGCATAGAGCAGTGATGGCTCTATGCCATTGCTTGCCAGGAGCGGGTGGAGTGCGGGGGTGGGGGGTCATGTGCATGCATGCCCATACCCATAATTCTATGTGTCCTGACCCCGCGCATTTGCGCGTGACCCCCGCCCGCTCCCCCCGCTCCTGGCACGCAGTAGGGCCGTTTTTCTCTCTCCCCAGGCTCCAGAGCCTTTCTAGGAGTCTGGGGAGGGTGAAAATGGCATTCCCCACCCCACTGGAGGCCCTTCAGAGGCTGGAAATGACCCATTTGCCAACTTCTGGTGGGACTGGAAGGCCCGTTTTTTGCTGTCCCCAGGCTCCAGAGCCTTTCTAGGAGTCTGGGGAGGGCAAAAACAGCCTTCCCCACCCTCCTGGAGGCCTTCCGGAGGCCAAAAATGGCCCATTTGCCAACACATATTCCAGCCTCCAGAGGGCCTCCAGTGGGGGGAGGCCATTTTCACCCTCCCCAGACTCCTAGAAAGGTTCTGGAGCCTGGGAAAAGAGAAAAACAGCCCCCCCCCCCGAAGGTCCTCCGGAGGCAGGAAACACCCTGTTTCCCTACTTCTGGTGAACCCAGAAGGCCCAAAAAATCAGCTGGCCAGCACGCACATGTGCGCTGGAGCTAAGCTTGTGTGCCATCTGTGGCACGCATGCCATAGGTTCACCATCACAGGCATTGAGCAAGCTATTACAGTATGTATTTAGGATCATCGGCATGTGTACCATGGGATCATTCATTAACCCTGGCAAGTCATTTATATATAAGCTAAATAATAATGGGGCTAGGATACACCCTTGCCTTACCCCTTTATTTGTGTGAATCCTGTTAATCCAAGCCCCTTTAACCCCGTACTGCACCCTCAAACAGGTAATTGTGTAAAGGGCTTTAATCAAAGTCAGCAGTCTAGGTTCTATTTTAAGAGATTTACTTCATAGTACTTCTCTATTTACCATGTCAAATGCTGCTGTGTGGTCTATAAAAGCATTAAACAGGGGTCTCCTCTTATAGGCATATTTGGCAATTAGATGGTTCAAGACAAAGCAGTTATCAATAGTGGATTGGCTTTGTCTAAAACTTGCTTGTTCTTCTGCAAGGATATGATTTTCTTCTACCCAGATTTCAATTTAAAAAGAATCTAGCACATATTTTTGCGGCAATGTCAATCAGACTGATGGGCCTATAATTACTATTTTTATTTCCTTTTTTATATATATGGGGACAACTATTGCCATCGTCCACCCATCTGGTATATGGAAGGTGTTATTTATATGTGTAAAAAGACCTGCCAATACTGGACCCCAGCAATTGGGAAATTTCATAAATAATTCTGCTGGTAAAAAATCTTCACCTGGGGCTTTATTGCTCTTTAAGCTTTTAAGGATGGATTGTATCTCCTTTTCCGAGACTGGTGGCCAAGGGGGAGTAGTAGTTCTAGGGTTTACTAAATCACTGCTTAAAGATAGTTTCTCTACAAGCTCCATGGAAGCAAACAAACTCTGATAATAATTCTCCCAGTCCTCAGCAAAGATTGGTATATCAAATGCAAATCTCCATTCCTTTAGGACCCCTGCAA